AATTGAGGCAGCTGCAACGCGCTTCGATTAGTTGCCTCGGCCGTTGCCTGTCAGTCAGTCATTCAGTCAGTCAGTTGCCCGGTCAGGTCGGAGCAGACAAAAGGCGACGCTGACGTCGCTGCTGTCTTGTTAATTTTTTGAGCTATTTATTTTGATGTTTTCGCTTTTACGCTCTCGTTAAGTCGCACCAGACGCAATGCCAAAGTTCTACCAACAACTCTCGCAAAACACACACAATAAACGTATGAAAATAACTATGAACAAAAAAAAACAAAACCAAGAATGAGTGCTCTAGTTGGGGGAGCTTGACTATCCGCTACCCTGTACTCAAATCTGATGATTATTTTTTAATCGAGTGATTATAAGAGTCAATATAAATCGAATATATATTTATAGTTAGCATAAACGTATTTTTAATATAATTATATTTTATTCATTTAATATAGATTGAAATTAGTTAAAAATTGATTTGGTTTTAAAAACAATTTTGTTTACTCCACAATTTCAATTGTGGTTACTAATTGAATTATATAAAATGAAAAGTGAATAATTAAACAAAAATTAAAATGGAAAAATAATATACTACGCTATTTATTAAAAGCATCTTCCTAAAGCACTATCATTTATTGTAAATAGAATTATACTTAAACCCTATTTATGAATGCAAATTTTGAATAAATATCTTTTATTTTATTTTCATTATATTAAATATTTATTTAGTTATACCCAAATTTAAACTGTAACTTTAGTTGAAAATTAAATTAAAATCCTTAATAACTTTTTAAAAATGCTAAGCTATTTTTCAGATTAAATAAATAAAATAGTATTATATTAAACTAATATTTATATTACATACTATTTTAAATATTTAAAAGGCGGCAATTCATCTTCTTTTACCTCTATAATTTATTGTGCAAAGAAATTTACTTAAACCCTATTTATGTGTGCCAATTCTGAATGGGTATCGGGTATTAAAAAAAGCGAAAATATATATTGTGAAATTCGCTGACCCACGCGAATGCGAAAGCTCAAAGTGGTCTTCTGCTGCTTCGTCTTCCTCAACCACTTCTTGTTCTTCCTTTCATTTTTTTTTTATGAGTTATGTTGTCTTGCAGTCTGTGTGTGTGCAACGTTGCATCACGAGATAGTTAAAGAGATATGCATACAAAATTGGAAATGCTAATTAATATGTTTTGCACAGCAGATACGAAGCGATACGCGAGAACTGCGAGTGGATCTGTTTACATAAGCGTTAACCGCACACCCACCACATATTGAAATACACACAGACAGACAGACACACACACACTCTCGCAATACACGGACAAATTATATTAAATTTTATTAGGCGTCAAGCCATAAAGAACATAAAGAACAGCTGAGCCGACTGCTGTCGTCCGAGCTGAATGAATGGGAAGCTCACATGACAACGCTTTATAATTAAGAACAATGCCAAGTTATTCAAATATAGAGATAGAGAGAGAGAGAGAGAGAGATAGAGAGGGATTTATTTAGCAAATAGAGTTGTGGAGGGGTTCATTCAGTTGCACTCATAAATTCCATTGCTGTGACACATATTAATTGTAATTGCAAGGTTTTCTTTGCACGACATTCATTGATGAATAATTCTGGGAAATACTTAGCCATTACACAAACCACATGCTGGGTAATGTGTCCTTGATATTTGTTTGTAAAATGAAAATGATTCCTTCTGTTTGCGTATAGTAAATTTCTTAATTAATCTAATTTTTCTTTTTAATAAATATAATTATTATTTAAATAAGAAAATCGTATTGGTTTACTTATTTATATACCACTATGTAAATCTCCTGATTGCATAAATAATAAAATAAAATAAACCCACAACTAACAGCAAAGGAACATCAATTTGAGTCTTTGGTTTGTTTCCTGTCGACAAGCTCCCTGTTCTCAGATTGTTGCAATAGATACTTGGCCAATGTATCCACAACAGATTTTTTAGGGTTGTCTTGCGATTGTTCGACAATTCATTGTCATTGATAAAGAGCAAGCCATTTTCAAAACGCCGAATAATTTGCGCAAGCAGCAAACAGCTGCTGCCAAAGAATGTATGTGTGTGGCTGTGTGTGTATCTTGTATCTACAGATGCCATGACTCATAAAATAACTGCAAATGGGTCTGAGACTGTGACCCAATGAGCAATATCAACACACACACACACACACATATACATATGCACCTACAACACGAAAGACTTGGTTGGGCAACAATAACATCCAAGACAAGCGAAACGATTACAAAGAAAAAATAATTTGCGCAAATTGAATGAAGTAGAAACAAACTTCGCAAGTGTGCGATAAAAAGAGGGAGAGAGAGAAAGGGAGAGAGAGAGAGAGAAAGAGGGGGAGAGAGAGAGAGAGCTGAGAATAATAGTAGTGATCCGTCATCGAAGCGAAATGTTGCTGAACTCGACTAATCTAATCAAATCGAATCAAAACGAATCAATGGCCATATACAGTTACAGAATACATATATATCTATATACAATGCTGATCTGACATATTGTGCAATGGCAAGAAAGAGGACTAATCCTGCAGCACTTCCTGGCTTACGTTTACACACCCAACTTGGCCAGATCAGTCGATAAAAGAAGGCAGCCAAAGCAAAGCAGGAACAAACAATTGAGAGGATCGCTCTTGAAACAAAATCCTAGATAGAAAGATACGCACCTGAGAGAGAGAGAGAGAGAGAGCGAGAGCGAGAGAGACAGATAGAGGGGATAGTGAGGGGGAGGGAGAGTGCAAGCAAAGATGTTTGCACGGTCAACATTCAACAAATTGCTTGGCAGCAGGTAGTTCATGTTGATGTTGTTGGTGTGGGTTTTCCTGAGAACAGGCTCAAGACTCAAGACTTGAGAGACTCTGCTAACAGGCTGGCTGACAGATACGCATCACTGACAGAGCCACTGAGGCTGTGTGTATGTGCCTGTGTTTGTTTAATCAGCACCTGTCGCGGTGCAGCGGCGTCAACAGGTACACAGAAAAGTTAGCGGCAATCAGAGTACAACAAATTTGGAAAAGTGCTAGCAGAAAGTGTATCACTACAACCAAATCACATGCGTAGATCCCGCTAACAAATCACCTCCAACTATAAAACAAGAATCGCAAGCATAATTCAGCAACATCAAAACAACAAACAACAAACAGCAACAAAAAACGAAACAGAAACAGATCGTCAGTCCGCTGATTGGAGGAGCCGTTCAGTTCCCGCGATCAGTGATCAGCGATCGGCGATCAGTTAAGGTTCAGGCCCAGAAAGAGGCCGAGGCAACTGCTCTCATAAATCAAGAAAAATCAGTCAATTTTTTTTACGTACGTATATCAAACTGACATTGGCTGAATTAACAATTGATTTCAATAATTTTTTATTATTATTATTTTGCCTCTCGTCGCTCGCTTAAGCCGCTGCCAGAGATCAGAGTCAAGCAATCGCTCACATTCAATTTAACTCAGCGCTATTCAGCGGCACTCTCTCTCTCTTTGTCTCTCTCACTCATGTGCTGAATATGAAGTGCACTCAGTTTAACTTTGGCTCAGCTGGATAAAAAAGAAACTCGTTTAACCGGTGTGACGAGTGTCAATGTCTCATTGGCAATTGTTCGCTTGGCGTTGACGCTCAACGAAGCAGACCGGGGAGACATCGTGCACAGTGGGGCAAGTGTGCTTCCGATTAGATTATTCAGCGGATAGCATATAAAATATTTGAATCAATCAATACTTATTTTTCTATATTATTTTTTGATTCATGTTAATTTTCTTAGATTCTTTTTAAAACTATGACCAGAAATTAAAATATATATTTGTTAATAGTTAAATAAATAAATGTTAAATACTCTTAATCAAAATGTATTATTGCTAGGTATATTTGTATTTAATATATACTGGTCTTATACACTTTTGAATGCAAAATTGGAAATCACATCACATTATGTATGTATATGAAATGTATTAAAATAACATTTATGAAAACTTTAATTCAAGCTTATAAGAAATGGAATCTTGCGATTTATTTCTAAAACTGGCTCCTAGGCAATCGATTATGTAAATGAAGAATTTACGAATTTGCGTAGATTAAGCATTTAGATACTCTACACAGTTGCTATATCTGCTATCTATTTGATCTTATCTTCCGCTGCTCACTTTTTGTTTCATTCACTAATCCAAATTTGAGCTTCAAATATCACCTGTTTATCTCTCGATCTCACTTCCTCCACTTTATCTCATCTTACAACATACAGCACTTCCTACTCTCTCACACACAGTCACACACATACTATTTATTTGCCTATTCACTGCCCACACACGCACACACACACACACGCACACGCATTAATCTCGCTCTCTCCTTGTAAACATTTAGCCCACTGTGCAATGCGTTGCGCTTTGCCTCGTTTGCATTGCATAGTTTTGTTTGTTCTGCTCACCCTTCTCGCTCGCTAGCTCTCTCGCTCAACGCATGTGTGTGCAGTTAGTTTTCTGCCGTCACAGTGTTTGTGTGCGTGTTCATTGAGTGCTCGCCCCGAGGCATAATTTGAGCAGCACGAAAACTCACTCAATTGCTGAACGCGCTGCTCAGCGGCACTTGCTGCTCTCCGACGTTCGCAGTGTGCGATCAGTTTTTGAGCAGACTTTGAGCCGAGCGCACGCGTTGTCGGTAAAACGCAACGAAGCGAAACAAGACGAGACGCGTAATGAAGAATCGAGTGCTTCAAAGTTACCCAAAACAACACACAATCTACACATATATTTATCATAGCTAAAAAAAAGAAAAAATATATATCATCGCTATCGCACCCCCCACTTGGATTACGGTCAACGCGCGAGCAAGCAATAATAGCAATAAAATTGAATTAAAAAGAAAGATATAACAAGAAAATCATAATAAAATAGAGCCCGAAAGGGAGCTATATATTATATATATATATTTGATGTGTGTGCTGTGTTTTTATTGATATTGTTGCACGATTGTGCAAGCAACTATAAAAAAAATATCACCCACAAAATGGGCTGCAAATAACGAGCAACAAACGAAAAAAAAACCAAACCAATATCATCAATTCCCCCAAAAAGAAAGAAGCAAAACCAAGTCTAGCTAGCTAGAAAGTTAGCTAGAAACAGGCCAAAAAAAATCCACACATACATAATGCTAGCTAGCCATATGCTTTATGTCTTAATTGCTAGCTGTGCCATGCCCATTTTTGGGGCGGCACTGAGTAAGACGGTGCTGTATCAGGCGCCCGACGAGTGCCGCTGGTCCGGCGGAGGGGAACACGACATCACCTTGGTCTGTCATCTGCGGACGATCAACTCGGAGCTGGAGAACACCAATTTCAGTGTGATCCAGCCACATAATACGGTCAGATTACGCCTCGAGTGCAACGATGCCCTCTTCTTCCAGAGCAGTCTCAGTCCGGATAGCTTTCGCTCGTTGGTCGAGCTGAGGGATTTGACCATTGAGTATTGTAAGCTGGGCAATCTGACGGAGGGTTCATTTCGTGGCCTGCACGAGTTGAGGAATCTAACGATACGCACCCACAATGGGGATTGGTCAACGATGTCCCTCGAGATGGCCTCGAATAGTTTTGTGGAGTTCCGGCAGCTGGAGAGATTGGATTTGAGTCTGAACAACATCTGGCTAATACCGGATGGAATGGTCTGTCCACTGAAGTCGCTGCAGCATCTGAATGCCTCGTACAACAAGATCCAGGACATTAGCAACTTTTACTTCAGCAGCGCCTCGCTGACCTCCTCGAGGAAGTCCCGCATTTGTGGATCGACGCTGGAATCCCTCGATCTGAGTGCCAATAAAATGGTCAGTTTGCCGTCGGCCATGTTGTCGGCACTGGTGCGTCTGACCCACCTGAATATGGCCAAGAATAGCATGAGCTTTCTGGCTGATCGGGCATTCGAGGGTCTCGCATCTCTCCGGGTTGTGGATCTGTCCGCCAATCGGTTGACCTCGCTGCCACCGGAACTCTTTGCGGAGACGAAACACCTGCAGGAGATCTATCTGCGGAACAATTCGATTAATGTGCTCGCACCGGGCATCTTTGGTGAGCTAGCCGAGCTCCTGGTGCTCGATTTGGCCAGCAATGAGTTGAACTCACAGTGGATAAATGCGGCCACATTTGTGGGGCTCAAGCAGCTGATGATGTTGGATCTGTCCGCCAATAAGATTAGTCGCCTAGAGGCGCACATCTTTCGCCCCTTGGCGAGTTTGCAAATACTCAAGCTGGAGGAGAATTACATTGATCAGTTGCCCGCTGGCATCTTTGCTGATCTGGGTGAACTGCACACATTGATTCTCTCCAACAATCGCATCTCGGTGGTTGAGCAGCGAACCCTGCAGGGTCTGCACAGTCTACAGGTGCTCTCCCTGGACTACAATCGTCTGAGCAAACTGGATCCACGCTCGCTGCTCAACTGCAGCCAGTTGCAGGATCTGCATCTCAATGATAATAAGTTGTTGGCGGTGCCAGAGGCACTGGCTCATGTGCCACTCCTCAAGACACTGGATGTGGGCGAGAATATGATCAGTCAGATTGAGAACACGAGCATTACACAACTGGAGAATCTTTATGGACTCCGCATGACGGAGAACTCGCTGACCCACATACGTCGAGGTGTCTTCGATCGGATGAGCTCTCTGCAGATACTCAATCTGTCGGGGAATAAGCTCAAGTCCATCGAAGCGGGTGCTTTGCAGCGAAATACCCAGTTGCAGGCCATTCGCCTGGATGGCAATCAATTGAAGAGCATTGCTGGTCTGTTCATGGAGCTGCCCAATCTGGTGTGGCTGAACATATCGGGTAATCGACTGGAGAAATTCGATTACTCGCACATCCCCATCGGTCTGCAGTGGCTGGATGTGCGTGCCAATCGCATTACCCAACTGGGCAATTACTTTGAGATCGAGAACGAACTGAGTCTGAGCACCTTCGATGCCAGCTACAATTTGCTCACAGAGATCACAGCCAGCTCCATACCGAACAGTGTTGAGGTGCTGTATCTGAACGACAATCTGATTGCCAAGATTCAACCGTACACGTTCTTCAAGAAACCCAATCTCACCCGTGTCGATCTCGTGCGGAATAAGTTGACCACGCTGGAGCCGAACGCGCTGCGATTGTCGCCGATTGGCGAGGATCGCGAAATACCCGAATTCTACATTGGCCACAATGCGTACGAGTGCGATTGCAATCTCGATTGGCTGCAGAAGATCAATCGGGAGTCACGCACACAGCCGCAGCTCATGGACCTCGATCAGATCCACTGCAAATTGTCCTATGCACGCGGCTCCACCCACGTCTCCCTCATCGAGGCCAAGTCCAACGATTTCCTCTGCAAATACGAGTCGCATTGTTTTGCGCTCTGCCATTGCTGTGATTTTCAGGCCTGCGATTGTAAAATGGAATGCCCCGATCGTTGTGCCTGTTATCACGATCAATCCTGGACCTCCAATGTGGTCGACTGCAGTCGCGCATCCTACGATCGATCCCTGCTGCCCTCGCACATCCCAATGGATGCGACACAGTTGTATTTGGATGGAAACACATTTGCCGAGCTGCAGAGTCATGCGTTCATCGGACGGAAGCGGTTGAAGGTGTTGCACTTGAATCACTCACGCATCGAGACGTTGCACAATCGCACCTTCTACGGCTTGCTCGAGCTGGAGGTGTTGCAGCTGCAGAACAATCTGTTGCGTGCACTCAACGGCAACGAGTTTCAGGGCTTGGATAATCTGCAGGAGTTGTACTTGCAGCACAATGCGATTGCTACGATTGACACGTTGACCTTCACCCATTTGTACCATTTGAAGATCCTACGACTCGATCACAATGCCATTGGCTCCTTTGCCGTGTGGAATTTCCTGCCCAGCTACCTCAATGAGCTGCGCCTGGCGGGGAATCCGTGGAGTTGTCGCTGCGAGTTCATCGACAAGCTGCGCGACTTTATGAGCCGGCATGAGTATGTCTTGGATCGCCAGAAGCTTCACTGCGAGATGCCCTCGAATAGTACCCAACAACAGCAACAGCAACCCGTACAGATGGCCATTTATGGGGCAACGGGAGACTCGCTGCCCGTGGTGCAGTGCAGCCAAATGCTGCAACTGGGCCTGGACAACAACTTCAACTATGCAGAACGTGGGGCAGCAGGAGGCAACGATGCCAATGGGGATGCGATGCTGAATGGGAATATGACGTCGACAAAGATGATCTTGACACAGCCCCCGAAGCAGGATTATATACCCATCCTGGTGGCCATATTGACCGCCTTCATCTTCATCATGATTTGCACACTGCTGGTGTTCATCTTTCGCCAGGAGATGCGTGTCTGGTGTCATGCCCGCTTCGGTGTCCGACTCTTCTACAATGGCCAGAAGGATGTGGACAAGAACGAGCGGGAGAAACTCTTCGATGCCTTCATCTCGTACTCCTCCAAGGATGAGCTGTTCGTTAATGAAGAACTGGCACCGATGCTGGAGTTGGGCGAGCAGCGCTACAAGCTCTGTTTGCATCAGCGAGACTTTCCCATCGGTGGCTATTTGCCGGAGACAATTGTCCAGGCCATCGACAGCAGTCGACGGACCATCATGGTCGTCTCCGAGAACTTCATCAAGTCCGAGTGGTGTCGCTTCGAGTTCAAATCGGCGCATCAATCGGTGCTCCGGGATCGTCGCCGGCGTCTCATCGTCATTGTGCTCGGTGAGGTGCCGCAGAAGGAACTGGATCCCGATCTGCGTTTGTATCTGAAGACCAACACCTACTTGCAGTGGGGCGACAAGCTCTTCTGGCAAAAGCTACGCTTTGCTTTGCCCGATGTCTCAGCCTCCTCCGCTGCCTCCGCAGCAGCAGCAGCAGCCGCCTCATCGCATGTCCAGCGTTCCGGTCAATCCTGTCATGCGGCCATGAATCATCCCGCCTATCATCATCATCATCATCATCATGTGCAGCAGCAGCCGTTGCCGTTGCCTCTGCCTCTGCCATTACATGGTGGGCATCCAGTGCAGCATCCACATCCGCATCATCATCTGCAACAGCAGCAACAGCAACAGCAGCAGCCGCAGTTCATGTTGCCCCCGCCACCGACTCTGCAGCCGGGCAGCTTCCGGCGGCAGCCTTCAACACAGCAGTCGCATCGCCCAAATGCCACAAGCAACAACAACAACAGCAGCAACAACTGCAACAATCCACAGCAGCAGGCAGCGTTGCTGATGGGTGGTGCAAGTGGTGCCAGTGTTGGTGGTGGTGGTGCTGGCAATCTGATTGCTGGCGGCGCCCAGCCACAAATGATTCCCCTGGCGGGTGGCATTCAACAGCAGAGCTTGCCACTGCCGCCGCAGGTGACGTCAACGCAGCCAACGCCAGCGTCTCGTAATTTGCATATGTGAGAGTAAGTGAGACAAAAGTCAGAAAGAGAGAGAGAGAGAGAGAGAGAGAGCGAGTGTTGGGAATAGTTGAAACAAATCAATGTTGAAGCTTTTGAATTAAGCACAACAAAAATGCAAGCAAGTCAAACTTTATAAAAAGACAGTTCAACTTCAATTTTGAGTCTGAAAAGCAAAAGTGGTTGTAGAGAGAACGAGAGAGAGACAGAGCGAGAGAAAAGATAATGATTAAGTTGTTGCAACAATTGAAATAGAGAGGAATCGCTACTAAAATAAATTATAATTGAAACAAATTAATGTTGCAGCTGTTGAGTTAAGCGCAACACAAATGAAAGCAAGTCAAACTTTTAAAAAAGGCAGTTTAAGTTTAAAATTAATTAAATTCAAATTGAGTTCTGTTTTGGGCGACTTACTTTAACTCGTAAAGACAAGGACAGAGATAGAGATATGTGGTTAACACAAAGCAAACCGAATTAAATCCAGTTTTTGAATTGCATTCGGTTTGTGCTCGGTTTTTTTGGTTTCGGTTTTGGTTTTTCAAAACCTGTTTGTAGCGCCAGCCAGGAGCAAAGCGCACAATTTGGCAAAGGGGATTGATTCTGGAAAAGCTTGAGGAAATCCACCCCTCGAAATGAAATGAGATGAGAGTCACAGCCAGAGAGTCACAATCACAATCACAGTCAGAGTCAGAGTCAGAGTCACAGCCAATATGCAAATGAAAAGCGTTTAGCGATAAAAGCCTAGTTACATGTTAAAATAGCAGCAGGAACAACCACAATTGCAACAGCAACAGCAACAATTGCAGCTAAGGGGCAGGCAAACGAGTAACAGATAGAATGAAGAAAAAAAAAAAACCCAACAGTCGGCCAAGTCTGTGTTGCAAGTGGGGCAAGGGGAAGAGTTGCTCTCGAGCGGTATCTAAATAGCCGGCAACACGGGGGAGCCGAGCCAATTGTTGTTGGCCCTGTTCTGTTTTCTTACGGCCAGCTATTTTCAGTGTTTCCTGGCTCGTAGCAAGATTCACAAAATTGATGTTGCATGCAACAACACACACCAAAAGCAACAGCAATAGCAACAGCCAAGGCCCAAAAACTATTTTTCTTTTGCCTTTTATTTTGTTTTTGTTTTCTGTTATTTTTTTCTTTCTTTTTTCCTTTTTGTATTCTGTTATTTTCTCTGTGCACCATCATTTTTTTTCTTTTCTGTTGTTGCTGTTGCCGTTGCTGTATTTCGTATGTTGTTGCAACGTTCACTCGTTAGTTCATCTTAACTGCTGCATTTTACTGTAACAAGCTCAACGTATGTGTGTGTGTGTGTGTGAGTGTGTGTGAGTGTGTGTAGAAAATAGGCAACGCTAAACATCAGAGAGCTCATGTCTAGGCAAGATGAAGCAGCAAAAAAAAAAAAAAACGAGTGGAATAAAAATGAAAAGAAATTGTAACAAAAAGTGAGGCAAGCAACATCGTCAGGGCCACCAAATGCATTTTCAGAACAGAGAAAGACGAGACAGAGGCAGAGACAGATAGAGAGACAGAGACAGAGAGAGAGAGAGAGAGAGAGAGAGAGAGAGAGGGAGAGGGAGAGATAGACAGACAGAGAGCTAGACCGGCAACAGACAGTTACTGGGATACGTTGTGACAAAGCCGTTTTGGCAGCTGCAACAAAAACAACAACAAAAGTTGTTTTATTTTTTTGGTTTTTGGGGCCCAGCTACACGTGCCAAAATTGCCAAGAGTTGCTTTCGGTTGTCCGCTGACTGTTCGGTTGCTAAGGTTACCAGTTGTGTTCGCCAAGGGTTACAGATCAAAAAAACAGCATATGCAGAAAAGAAAAAAACAGCAAAAGCTGAAAAACACTTCGCATCAACAGTTTTAGTTATTATTTTTGCTTTTGCTTTAAGGCTAGTGAATATGTGTTGTTAGCGTTCAATTGAAATCTCAAATTGGTCTATTTAATTTTTTGGGGTGTTTGCATTCTTGCTTTGACCTTGATTTGCCTGATGGTTTTTGTACTCGTGAAGTGAAATTCGCACGTGTGATGCTGGCCCAAAAACTCTCGTTTCGCGTTTCTCTCGTTGCTCGCTGCTCGCTTCGTGTCTTGCAAGTTGGGCCAAGGCAGTCAGCAAAATCAAGCTGGCAATAGAATTGCAAAAGAACGGAAAAAGAACTGAGAACTGAACATGGAACTGAACAGTGCTACAGATTAGTTGGCTGCGATTAAAATCTACCTTGTTGTTGTTCGTTACGCCTGTTTTGTCTTTACTCTATTCGCTCCCACTCCCTCTGTCTCACTCTCTCGCTCGCTCGCACACTCAATTATACTCCCTCGCTGCCTCTCTCTCTCTCTCTCTCTGTGCTTGATAAGTGGTACGATAGACACATCCAACTAAATGCATTCCAAAAGCAAGAAACTAGTTAACTGTTAGCCTTTTACAAATAAGTTCGTCTCGTCTCGTTTCGTTCCGTTTCGTTTCGTTTCGAATTACGTGTGAAATTGTAAATAAATCTTGAAAGTTGGGAGCCCCGCTTAAATGTTAAATTGTACGTTTATTTGTTTAATAATTGTGATATTTTGTTCAATTAAGCTTAAATTATGTTTGAATGTAAACACATAAAAGTAAACAACAGCAAAAAAGAAGAAAAAAAAAAAACAAAACAACTATTAATATTATGTTATTTCGACGCTATAATTGTCCTATCAATGTAATACTTACACCTAAATATATATTTAAACTGTCTCCTCATAAGTTATGTTAGTCGATAAGTTAATTAACTCCAATCTGTACACATATCGAAAAAATAAATACACAACAAATAATACACATACATACACACACACACACACAAACTCATATCGAACCACACACATTATACAGCCATATTAACTCTATAAAATGTCGTGTGTCTTAAAAGGAACTATATAAAAATGAAAAAAAAAATCAAAAAAATGAAAAGAAAGGAATAATAAAAACATAAATCGACTGATTACATCTAGATATGTACATGTATCTGCTAGCAATAACTCTTGATTATGATTTACGCAATGTGCTTGTCGTTGTAAATATTGTATTCTATTTTTATTTGTATTTGTATTTGTAATTTTATGTTTTCTAGTTTATAGCCAAAAAAGCGAAAAAATATATACCGAAACAAAACTGATAATCGAAAAACACAAAACAAATTCCAAATATTTATTTTTTATTTTATGCCTCATTTAATTTGCATGTTTATAGCTGAATTTCGCACGGCAGCAGTTTTCAGTAACCGTAAATTGTATTTATATGCTATATAAGTATATGGCTGATATATCATAAACCATCAGCATTGACATTTGATACCCGATATACCTACACAAACAGACCACTCACTGACCACTCACTGACCACTCACTGACCACTCACTCCACTCACATATCTGAATCCTAATCTGAGAGTGAGTGGGCTCCGTTTTGCTTACTGGCTGCTCAGTCACTCCATATCTATTATAAAGAATGCTCAACAATTTGCAAGATAAACACAAAAATGGGAGCAGCCGAGTGCAGTTTGGAAAATTTATTGAATCATTATGATAGATACCAACCAACAACCGGAACTCTTAAAAACCAGATAAAATGGATGAGTAAACTATAAAATCAGCATAAAAATTAGTATTTATTACTATTTTCATAATATTGAAGTATTATTAATTGAAGGGCAGTTACAAATTTAAATCTGAAATGAGATCAAAAATTGTGTTAACAAACTGTCCTCATCTGCCATCTCATCGTTCAACTGATCAAGTCTTTGTCTTCCAGTTTTTGGGGATCTTAAGTTAACTGCCTGTATATCTTGTCGTTGTTGACATAAACAACCCACGATTGCTTTATTGGTATTTAGCTCAATCACATTTTAGCCGCCTACTTTTTCCCAAGCTTTTTCCCCGTCTTCTGCTCATGCATATTTTATGGATATCGTTGAATGTTTTTCTACGACTTTGCAGACAATGAAGTCGCCAAGTCAGCCAAGCATATTTCGCTGATTTTGCAATCGTTGTGGAAATTAATGAATAATTTGTATGATCAATTAAATGAGCAATAAAATTGATGAGGCTCCCCGAGCCAACAAGTCCATCAGCGAGCTGCTCGCGTTTGCCAATCTCTCCCTGCTCGACCAACATCAATTCCCATTGCTTAAATTAGCAAGTTTTACAATCAATCATTAGGAGGCGAAATGCCGCCAACGTCGATGTGGCTTTGATCTCCAATCAACAAGCCTGCGGAATCTCAATCTCAATCGCAATATGTATCTGAATCTGTCTCTGTATCTGTATCTGTATCTGTGTCGGTTTTTGTGTGTTTTACTCATATGGTGGGCCACGTATTCGTTTATGGGTTAACCAGCACCAAGGCGCAAAAAGTTCAAGCTCAAGTTAAACCCTTTTCAATTTTTTCATCTTTTTTTTGCTTTACTGCCCCCTTTGCTTGTCCCTCGTTCAATCACCTCACCGGATCGACCTATTTCAATGCGAAAAGTTTGCAAAAAACAAAAAATACAAAAAAAAAGTCAAATATTAAAAACTTTTCTTTTGGTCTTACTTTCTACGGACTTCTTTCCTGCATTTTTTATTTTTTATTTTTTTTATCAATTTCGTTTGTGGGATTTGTTACGCCGTAATGGATGAAGCCTTGCCACAGCCGCCTACTAAGCAAAACTTTCAATTGAATTTTTTCTAATGCCAAGCGAAAGTAAAAGTCTATCCTGGGGTTGGGGTTGGAGTTGAAGTTGGGATTGCCCTGTGGCTGCGGGTAGCTTGTCATTTTGCGAACGACGTAAATATTTCGGTTAACAAGTCAGTTTAGTGTCAAAAGAGAGGTTTTTATTTTTTATTTATAGATACGGAAACTTTTTCGGTTAACAGGACCGAACTTCTTGCACTCTCTGGAACTTAAATACAGTTTTTTCAATTAAATAGCTGGGAAATTGTCTAAACATTCTTGGTTTTCTCAATGCTGACGAAGCAACAATTGTGCGCACTTTGGCCGCTGAACCGCTCCTGTATTCATTTTGGACACTAACATTTGTGTTTGGTGGCCATCGTACCTACATCAAAAAATTGGCTCAGTTTGAAGTTTTGGGCTCAAAGTCAAATCAAAGTGCTTGCCCCGCATCTATGCTATCTAATCCAACCACCTGAACTTTAACCATATATCAGAGCTGAACTAACTCAGCAAATTGCCTAACGAGCGATTCTGAGGCACACAGACCTCAACTACTAACTACGTGGCTAGCTGGCTGACTGGCTGGCTGGCTGACTAGCTGGCTCGTCAATAACTCGCTCTGCCACCCAATCGGTGCAGCAAGTGAGCAAGTGAGCAAGCAGGCAGGCGACCACTTGCCTCATTAGACTCCAACGAATCGAGAGTCATAAACGTCTGCGATGCAGCTACAATAACAATTCATTGGTGCTATAGGCAGGTATATCGATGACGAGGCTGTGTATAAATAAATATGCTTTTATTGGAAGACGACTACAACTGTTTGCAATAAAAGCAACATTTTTCTTAATTTCCATTTCTTGCTAATTTACCAGCCATAAATTGGCGGTCCATGTGGCACGCCGGGGTCTCGTTACCCAGGGGGGATTGCTGGCTCTCGGAGAAGGGGCGAATGGGGATGGGGGCCAGCCGAAACAAGCCAAGCTGAACCGCCGGTAGACACATAAAATTGGCTACAAATTATTGCACATTGTCAAAACAACATTGGTTTGCAATTTTCGCGCTTCAATGCCGATATGCAGAGTGATGACTAACACAGGGCTGGCGGGGCATTTGGTGTGGCAAGGGCATACAGCCCACAAATGTAGAGAGTCAGTCCAATTGCACTTTAACATTTAGGCGGGTAGTCAAACTATTTGTATGCCCCAGAGAAATATGTAAATATTTTCACTGTTAATATTTTATAGTATTTTTATGCAATTTTCGTCCATAAAAATTAATATTTTTATGCCACTACTAGATACACGTGTGGAGCTTAATAAACGTATACACTATAAAAATATTTATTTAATTTATTTGCGCAAACAAGACAAATATTAAATATTCTTAT